AATTGAAATGACATGTAATTTGTAGAATTTCTGTGAAGTTTAAATGAGAGGCAGGAAAGCAAATTGGTTAAGAGCGCTCTGTGCCTCAGTTTACTCCTCTCTAAAATGGAGATTATGATGGGACCTATCTCACAGTGTGAGGATTAAACGGGGTGATTCTTGGAAAGTTCTCAAAACACTGCCTAACACGTAATGAGTGCTGAGTAAATGTTTGCTGTTGTTGGGGAGCTGTACATGTCAATACACACATGTGTGCTTGCACACACACATGCACACTCTCAGATGTCTCTCCCCTTTGCTCCCAGAGTACAGCTGGATTGGTTATCTCTGACATTATTTCTCACACTATTTTTAATTACTTGTCCACCTTCCCACCAGACCCTAGGCTTTCTAAGGGTGGGTTTTTTTTTCCCCCCTGTCTTTTCTCTCTCTTCTTAGCCAAAATTAGTTGAACGAATGGGTCAGCAGGACTCCTGTGGACACAGGAGGAAATGTGCCATTATTAACCCATCTACTCAGGCGATGAGACACTAGAACAGCCCGTTGAGTTCCCCACCTGAACTTGGCAGCAGAATCCAACTAATGCCCTGGGCTCTCCCTCCAGACCCCCGTCTATTCATTCCCCTTTCTTTTGCACCCACAGGAAGTACTTGCCAATTCCTCTCATCTCCTGGGGTCTGTGCCAAAATCTGGATCCTGCAAATGCCCTCAGCGGATCTGACAAAGCTGCCCAGCGCCTCCACCCATGCTGGACCTTGTTGCTTCAGAGACTCCTGCTTTGCCTTTCCTCTGGCTTCAGCACGTCTCCTCTTCCCTCCTGGGTTTATCTGCTTTCTTTCCTGCTTCCATTTTCCTCCATTCTCCCCTCTCTCCTCGCTGAAGCTTTGGGCTGGCCCTTGGCACCTCTGGCCATGACCCCCATTTCCTAGTGATACTCGTGCCAAAGAATTCACTGGCTATTTGCTAGGAACCATGTATGATACCTAGTGTCAGTGTTGACTGAACATCCGGGGAGAATGGTGGTAGGCTAAGGGGAGCCACCCTGCAAAACCTTGACCTTCGGCTTGGAACAATGGCAAGATGCAACAACATGGAGGTGTTTGTAAGGTTTTGTCCTGGGACCTGCAGAGAGTGTGTCAGCTTGAGATTACCGTGAGATGGGCAACTATATGAATGACCGCCAAAACCACTAGTTATGATGATACATAGGAAGAAGCAACTATTTGTATAGTAAATAAGTAAAGGTCAGTGGACATCACACGTAGGAGAGGGCTTGGAGGCTGATAGAGAAACAAGAAGATGAAGGGCTTGGAGCAAGCGAGTCAGCGATGAGTAGACATAAAAAGGCCAGAGGATCCTGAGGAAGGTGGGAAGTGAGTCTGGGGGAGAAAGAATGTCTGATTTGTCACCTCAGGGAGCAGCAATGGGGCTTTTAGAGGCCTGGCAATTAGACGGGACGAGGCTGGCAGACAGCCAGATGAAGACTGAAGACTGAAGATCATGGTTGACAGCGTGGCTAGCTCTGCACCCCTCCCAGGGGTTCCCAGCCAGCTCCACAGCTTCCGACATGCACTGACCCCCCCCAACCATCCCCCCCCCCCAGTCAGGCTCATGAGACTAATACCTGCCTGAGGCAGAGGGAGGTTGCGGAAGGGGAGGTGTTGACCCAGAAATGGCTCTGAGGCCTCTGTGCTGGGATTAATTAGTGTCCATGAAGCCCGCGCCATTCAGCAGAGCACGGGGTGTTCTGGGATTGGTGTGCTGGGTATGTTGGGGGAGGAATGTTCACTCTGCTTCCCCTCGAAAGTTACGGTGAGGGAGTAGATCTTTAAGGCAGGCCGGGGAGAACAATCCCCGGCTCCACCCCAACAAAGGCTTTCAAGAACTCCATACTTCTTAGTGTATGTGGGGCAGGGTGAGGGGGATGGTGTTCATGGCTGCTAGCAGGCTGAGCTGGGGATCGCCTTGGAAGAGTCCCCAGGCCCAAGAGGGGGTCTGGATACTATTGCTGTCCCTCAGATCTCCACAGCCCAGTGCAGCTCAGGAATTTCAGGAGTCTTGCTTCTGCATCTCAGGCTGGCCCGTGGACAAGAAGGCCTCTGATGATCCTGTAGTCCCCCTTGCCAGCAGGAAGGAGGTTGCTATCCAGAGAGCTGAGCAGAAAGGTGGTGGGTCGGGTGGAAATCCCGACGGGAGGCTAGCAGCCTCTGGACTGGTGTGGGTCTGCCAAGGCAGGAGTCTGTGTACGTGCCCCTTACCTTTCGGCCTTCCCGTAGCTTCCAGGCCAGCGGCGGAGGAGGCTTCCTCTGGAGAAACCCAGTGGCCTCCTCCCTCCCACTCTCTAACTCTCCATATTAACCCTCTAAGTTTCCCTGGGGCCTCTCACTGTGGAGGTTGATGATGACCTTTGGGAGGGGCATTATTACTCTCAGGCTTTCAGTTTCCTCATCTGCAAGGTGGGATTCCTAGGGTACAAATCAGTGGAATAAAGAAAATAATAGAAGGGAAGTACCTGCAAAGTGTCTGGCCCAGTGTAGACCCTCCATAAATGGAGCCATCAACCAGTCATCACTCATAGAATAAAAACAATGGGTGGGATGTTGTTCAGCCATAAAGAGGCGTTAAGTACCGACACATGCGAGGTGTGGATGAACAAAACCCAGGCATCGGTAGGCTAGTCGCTGAGGTAGAATAATAGAAGAGAAGTGGGATGACAACACAGGCCCTTAAGTCCCAGCCCCCAGCCCAGCGTCTCCCGTCTACTTCCGGGAGGGCGGGGATGCCTGGCTGTGTAGCCCCGAGCAAGCCGCTTCTCCATGGGCCTCGGTTTGCCATTTAAACCCTGCAGCTCCCCCAGCTTGTGCTCTCTCTCTGACAAACAAATAACATCTTTTTAAAAAATTAAAAAATAAGTAAATAAATAAACCCTAACGGGGTTCGACTTGTGTCCTCACAGCCTGCCCAGTCCTGACCTGTTAGGACTCTAGGTAAAGGGACCTCCTGCTTTCCGCCATCGTCCTTAACCCAGAGTGGGAAGGAGGGGCACATTCCCAGAGCTGTCACTCCCCTGGAGTACTCAGGGGGCTCTCCTTCACCCCCCGGGCTCTGGTCCCCGCCCACCGCCCACACATCCTGGGAGGAGTGTTAGGGAGAAGGACTACTGAAGGGAACCACAGATGTGGAACCAGAAGGAAATCTGGAAACTCTCTATCACACCCTATTTACTGTAATTGTTTTTAATTGAGACTAAATCCGCATAACAAAACAAGTGCCATTTTTAAAGTATACAGTTCAGGGCATTTTGTTCATTCGTGACGTTCTGCCACCACTCCTATCTAGTTCAAAAATACTTTCCCCACCCTAAAAGAAAACCCTGTACCCACTGAGCAGTCAGTCCCCACTTGCCCCTCTCCCAGCGCCTGGCAACCACCAACTCACCTTCTGTCTCTACGGACTCGCCTTTTCTAGATATTTCATAGAAATAGAATCATATCATACGTGGCCTTTTGTGCCTGGCTTCTTTCACCCAGCGTCATTTAAAAAAAAAAAAAGGTTTTTTTTTTTTTGAAAAAGTAAAAGAGTGAGGAAGAGAGACAGAAGACGAGCGGGGGGGGGGGGGGGGGGGGCGGGGGGGAGGCAGAGGGAGAAGCAGGCTCCCCACTGAGCCGAGAGCCTGACACGGGGCTCCATCCCAGGACCCTGAGATCATGACCTGAGCCGAAGGCAGATGCTTCACCGACTGAGCCACCCAGGCGCCCCTCAGCGTCATATTTTCAAGGTTCATCCACACCTCGCATGTGTCAGTACTTAACGCCTCTTTATGGCTGAACAACATCCCACCCATTGTTTTTATTCTATGAGTGATGACTGGTTGATGGCTCCATTTATGGAGGGTCTACACTGGGCCAGACACTTTGCAGGTACTTCCCTTCTATTATTTTCTTTATTCCACTGATTTGTACCCTAGGAATCCCACCTTGCAGATGAGGAAACTGAAAGCCTGAGAGTAATAATGCCCCTCCCAAAGGTCATATAGCTGGTTAGTGGTCAAACCAGGGCTGGAACCCTGGTGGGGTTTCAATTCCCAGGTACCTAGGGGGCTTGAGAAAAGCGGGCAAGAGGGCAGCGGCCAGAAGGCCAGGAGAAGCCCCGCTGAGGAAGATCACCAACCTGGGGTAGGACAGGGGCGCGTGGAGGTGAGGCGGGCCCGCACCATACAAGTTCTCCCCTTCCAGCCACCTCCCTGCTGCCCCTGCTCCTGGGCCTCCCACACCAAATCTCTACCCTAGCTGGGGGCAGCACCTTTCTGACCAACAGGATTTGCCTGCCTCCACCTCAGGCCCCTTGTCTCTGGCCCCCCACAACAAAAGCTGGGGCGTCCGGGGTTACCTGTAGCACAGGCCCAAGACCCTAACATCATGCTCTGAGATGACCACCATTTTACCTTGAATCTCTACTTTGCTCTACTTCTGTCCCTCCGCAGAGACCTGGCCAGCCTTCCTCAGCCCTGACTTTTCCATTCTCTAGCACCAGTCTTGGTCTGACCTCGGCTCCCAAACCCTGTGGGGGAATGGCAACCCAGCAGAGTTGCTTCTGGTCTTTGTCCAGACATCACATGGTCTAGGGAGGTAGGGAATCGAAGTTATTTTGCCTCAGAAGCTTCCTGTACCCTGACCAATCCCAGTTTTGTTCCAAATGGGTTATGGGAGTCAAGGTAACTTCATAGCCATATTGCTTACAGTGCCTCGTCCCCCACCCCAACACACACACACACACACACACACACACACACACACACACACACACCTTCTTCCTCCCCACTCCTCATTCTGTCCCTAAAAACTGGATCCCCCTCTGCTGTCCCTGCTCTACCCTCACTCAATCTTCCCACCTGCTATGAGAGAGTCCTCCAAGGAAGGCAGATAATAATTTAGTTTCAGTAGAGTCTCTAGGAGCCTGGGGGACAGAGATGGCTTGCAGTTGGAGGGTTGGTGGTGAGGCTCTGTTGTGCAGAAGCCAGGCCTTCAGCCACCCCAGAGGCTTCTTGCTGAAGGTGTACTGGTTGAGAACACTGTAGCCCACCACAGTCCTCGCCCAGATGGAGGCTCTATCTTTAGATCTGTCCAGGTCTTCTCTTTGTCTTCCTTGCTAAGGTTTTACCAGGCGGTGCTTTGGAGCGATGACAGAGGGGCAAGGCCACCCGGTTCTCTATCAGGGTTTGGTAATTCCTCACAAGGTCCTGGCTCAGGGGTGCGCTGGGCAGCAAGGCCAGTTTTAGCACCCTCTCCTGGTAATGGGGCAGAGGGTTCGGGCAGAGCCGGCCCCTGGCAAAACCACCGGGAAGTGGGTTGGGCGTGAGTTGGAGGCCTCGGGGCTCAAACCTTCCACCAGCTGAGATGTGCCGGTACCTGTTGGAGGAAAGGGGTATGCAGAGAACAGAGAGGTCAAAGGAGAGGTGTGGCCATGGTGGGAGGAGTAAGAAAGGAAAGCATGATGCTTTTCTCATAGCTTAATAAAAGTTTATCTTGGGGCGCCTGGGTGGCTCAGTTGGTTAGGTTTCTGCTTTCATCTCGGGTCATGATCCCAAGGTCCTGGGATCGAGCCCCACATTGGGGTCCCTGCTCAGTGGGGAGCCTGCTTCTCCTTCTCCCTCTGCCTGCCACTGCCCCTGCTTGTGCTCTCTCTTGTCAAAGAAATAAATAAAATCTTTAAAAAAAAATAAATAAATAAGAGTTTATTTTCACAATGCTACAAAGGTAAGACCCCCAATTTATAATTCTTCATGTTCCTCTCAAAAGAAAAATTTTTTAAAGATTTTTTATTTGTTTGAGATTTATTTTATTTTATTTTATTTATAAAATTTATTTAATTTAATTAATTTATTAGCTTATTTATTATTTATTCCTACTCAGCGGGGAATCTGCTTCTCCCTCTCCCTCGGCCTCTCCCCCCAGCCCCCGCTTGTGCTCTCTCGCTCTCTCTCTCTCTCAAATAAATAAAATCTTTAAAAATGAAATAAAAAAATAAAAAAAAAACAGTTAAATAGTGGCAAATTTGCTGTGCTTCAACATGCTTTGCAGCTCATCCAGCAGATATCCCCGTTTGCTGTCTTTGGTTTACATGAGACATACGTAGGCCTGGCTGCATGTTAGAATCACTCCTAGGGAGCTTTTTAAAAAAATTCCTATGCTCAGGCTGCCCACTCCCCGGACCAACTAAATCAGAATCTCATGAACGGGGCTCAGACCTCACCATTTTTTAAAGAGGCCCAGGTGATTGTAATGTGCTACCAGAGTTGAGAACGGCTGGGTTTATGTATAAATATTCTATTTCCCAGCAATATCGTGGGCATCTTGAAGCTTAGACCTGTCTGGACCTCTCCTTTGACCTCTCTGTTCTCTGCATACCCCTTTCCTCCAACAGGTACCGGCACATCTCAGCTGGTGGAAGGTTTGAGCCCCGAGGCCTCCAACTCACGCCCAACCCACTTCCCGGTGGTTTTGCCAGGGGCCGGCTCTGCCCGAACCCTCTCACGCTCAAAATGTGCCCTCTCGCTGATCTAGAGACTTTTTTTTTTTTAAAAGATTTATTTATTTGAGAGAGAGAGAGAGTGAACAAGCATGAGCAGGGGGAGGGGCAGAGGGAGAGGGAGAGAGAGAATCCACAAGCATGTGAGTGCAGAGCCTGACAGGCGGCTGGACAAGAGGCTCGGCCCCAGGACCCTGAGAACACGATCTGAGCTGAAACCGAGAGTTGGCCGCTTAACTGACTGAGCCACCCAGGCGCCTCCGATCTAGTGACATTTTTATTTATTTGACAGAGGGAGACACACGGCGAGAGAGGGAACACAAGCAGGGGTAGAGGGAGAGGGAGAAGCAGGCCTCCTGCCGAGCAGGGAGCCCGATGCGGGGCTCGATCCCAGGATCCCGGGATCACGACCCGAGCCGAAGGCAGACGCTTAACGGCTGAGCCACCCAGGCGCCTCCAATCTAGTGACATTTTTAAAGGTACTTTAACCCCTTACAGAACTGCTCCGAAGGAACAACAGGACAAGATGGGCCCTTCCTCTCACCATTCTGTCTTGTTCCCTCCTGGTGAACTTGTACACATTCTTCAAGGTTCAGCTCATGTACCACGTCCTCTGTGAACCGCAAAACCTTGTCTGGGACGCCTTCATTCCTGGCTCCAGTGACTGGGCCTCCAGCAACAAACAGAGGGAAACAAGGATCCTCCTCTCATGGGGATGCCGTACTAATGACACGATTTACTGAGCCCCCTCTCTATGCCAGACACCACGCCTTCTCATCTTCTAACAACCCTGCAAGGTACCAGGTACATCTCCAATATATACTTGGGTAAAGCGAGGCTCAGAGAAAGTCAAGATGGTACAGCAAGTTTGCTATCGAGCTGGGTAGATTGCTACCTAGATCTGGGTGGCTCCTGAGCCCATGGAGCTCCTGCCCTCACACACATTCTCTGTACCCCCAGCACTGCGCTGAGCTCTTTTTGTGGATAATTGTGGTTTTCTTATGCTGTCTTTTTTTTTTTTAAGATTTTATTTATTTGAGAGAGAGAGAATGGGAGATAGAGAGCACGAGAGGGAAGAGGGTCAGAGGGAGAAGCAGACTCCCCGCTGAGCAGGGAGCCCGATGTGGGACTCGATCCCGGGACTCCAGGATCATGACCTGAGCCGAAGGCAGTCGCTTAACCAACTGAGCCACCCAGGCGCCCTTCTTATGCTGTCTTTATAGAACATTATATCACATCAGAAGTAGCGGTGAACATGTCTGATTCCCCAGTCAGGCAAGAGGGAAAGTGGTTAGGCATGCAGTTCCGGAACTGATCCGTCTGGGTTCGAATCCCAGCTCTGCCCCTTTACTGGCCATATGAACTTGGGCGAGTTAAGTGACTTCCCTGTTTCAGATGCCCCATCTATCTGTAAAATGGGGTTGCTCGTAAGAGTTTCTAATCGGAGTAGTGGGAGGTGATAAATAATATATTTATCTCAAGTGATTACAACTTCTGGCACTATCATTTCACGGAAGTTAATTTTTATCGTTATTTTGGGTGGGGGCGCGATCTAAGTCTTATCACCTTTGTATGCCTAGTGTTAGCACATACTAGCAATCAACAATCCGTCCTGCAAGGGCTGCAGACAGAAGCCAATGTCCTGAATAATCTCTCAAAATCACCAACTGTTGGCATTTTTTGAAAAGATTAAAAATCTCTGCGGCCTCCCCTCCAGCCCCTCACTGCTTCTGTTAATGCCCTCGGGGTTGGAATTTTAGATATTCTATCCCTATTCCCCCTTTCCTGTCTTATCCCCTTGGAAACGGGACTCAGTACGGGGAACAACCGGGCTGTGTGTTCCCACGGTGGACAGTGAGGGAAAGCTGCAGGGCGCTCCATTAACCCCTTTCACCTTCCTGTCTCTGCTCAGACTTGTCAACCCTCCATCCCCTTCTTTCCACCTTTCTGAGGGCCTCCTGCCCTTCCAGCCCTCACCCGGTTTCCGCACAAAGTCTTCCTGGGGGGACGCTCCGGCCCACAGCGACCCCCTCCCTCCTCTGCATTTCTGTAGTAACATCTGTTTTTTGTATAGTGCTTTCATATCTCCGGTAACCTATTTTATCGTCTCCCATTGAGGGAGAAGTGGTGTTTACCGTCTGCATTTTATCAGTGATGGAATTGGGTCTGGAAGAACTAAACAGTCTGCCAAGTCTGGACTTTAATCCAAACCTCTGACTATAGCTCTCAGCTCTTTCCATTAGTAACTGATATTCTTACAACACTCACTGTCTGTGTCACACTTTGGACACATAGGGTGCATGGGCTTGTGTTGTTAGCTGCCCCTCCAAGCCTGTAGGGAGGTATCGGCCTTTCCTAAGCTCCCTGGAGGAAGGGAATGGATGACTTTTGTCTGTACCCCCAGGGCCTAGCAGGTGTTGAGCGCCTAGGTGTACCCCGTGCATTCTAGTGATACGGTTAGGCGATCTCCCCTGGCTGGGCTTCCCTTGCCTCCACACCTTCCTTCCAGCCACATTCAGCTAGAGTACCAAGGGAGCCATCAGAAACAGGGACGAGAGAGAGGGAGCGTCACCTGAACATGAGTAGGCTGTGTGAGCCCCCCCACCCCGAGCCCCCGAGGAAGGAGCTCCTCTTCTTGAAGTTCTCTGGGCACAGGATGTTGCCCTTGGTGTCGAGTGGAGGTGCCCTCACTTCGCTCCTCAGTTTGAGTTTCTCCAGCTCTCTCACTTCCTGTGTCGTCCTGACAATCACCTGGTTCTTCCTGTTCTCGTCCACGAAGATAGGAGTACAGCCGATGAAGCTCAGGAAACTGTTCCGACCCACCCAGGAGGGAGGGGGGATGGGGGGCTCTGCTGGGGGGCAGCCATGGGCCCTGGGGTCCGTCAGCCAGCGCCACACGTGGCTATCGTAGGGCCTGTCGGGCCTGGTGGGAAAGGTGGCAGGCAAACGGCCCACATCAAGCCACGTGTGAAAGCCCCAGGTGTGCTGTGCGGCATCCTTCGAAGGGTAGATTAGTCGGCGACGCACCTCAGACTTGACCCCCGTGCAGGGCGGCGGCTTCAGGGCCAGCCGGTGGTGGGCCTGCCGGGTGAAGCCGGGCCACTCCCAGGACTCACTGGGGAGGAGGAACTCACGTTGAGCCCACGTTTGGTGGGTCAGGAGGGGCTCGCTGGCGTGGGCCATCTAGGGAGAGACAAAAGGGAGCCTGGGGGACCACTCTGCCTCTCTCTCCCAGGAGCGGCCGCAGAGACAACAAGAGGCCGGCCTCCTCAGACCCCAGATTCTCATCAGGACCCTGGCGGCCTGGCCGAAAACCATGTCTCCATGCCTGCCCTGCCGTCAGAAGTTCTGTCTGTTCTGTAGGGGTCCCCTGGGTTTCTCACCTTCTGCTCTCTCTCCCACCCCCTCTCCTCAGCTGTCTCCCTGCCCTTCACTCTTTACGTTACCGGTCCTCTCCACTCTGGCTGCCACCCCCACCCCCTGCCTGGAACTGGTGCTCCTAACACGGGACGTCAGGCCTGAAGAAACTGTGAGGGGGAAATGCCCCTTACTAAGCAACACGGAGAAGGAAAATCTTTCTCCAGAGAATGCAGCCCAGGGTTTCTTCTCTCCCGGACTCGTCCTGTTACTCGTTTCTCTGTCATCCGTGCAATTTCCCTCACTTCTCATCCAAACACAGGCAAGTATGGAAAACACCTAGAAAGCTGGTTCCTTCCCTTTCCTGTGTCCCACCTCCTGTGAAATCCACAGTAGCCACTATGTATTGACACTGTGCTAAACACATCCACAACTCAATTAAGCCTCATAGTCCTATGAGCAAAGTGTTGTTAATTGTCCCATCTCAAGGATACCAAAGGCAAGACAAAATGAGGGTGACTAAGTCACCCAAGGTTGCCAGGTCAGTGAGGGGCAGAGCTGGGACTCGAGCCATCTCCTGTGCTACCCAAAATGCCTCCTCCTCCTTTCCACCCTAGAACTTGGATTCCAAAAACTCACCTGTCTCTTGGGCCCACTCCGCTGTCATTTCTCCGTGACCGCCCCAGTAGGTGGGGCTGGGAGATGTAATAACCAGGCATCTCCTTTTCTGTTCTGAGCTCTGTGTTCACAATACCATAGGATTAAGAGAGGAAGACGGTAGAAGAGCTCTGGGCCAGACCTACTGACCAGAAGAAAGCATGGCCCACCCCAGGGGGACAGCCCTTAGCCCAGCAGAGTGCAGACAGATAGGCTGTGGAGATGGGGCCCCACCTCCTACCTGCAAGAAAGGTTTTTGGACATGGGGTGGATCATTCCGCCCTCTGGGTTGTCTTTGTGGGCTACTGGCCATTCCCCCTGTGGGCCTGATTGCCAGGAGGGGCCGCTTTGTAGGGAAGACTTTCCTGGCAGCATTGTTTGCTGTTGGGGTTGCTATGGTGATGCTTCCTGGATGGTGACGCAGGAGGCAGCCCTTACCTCCCCCTGGGAGGGCTCATCAGTCCCTTGGGCCCTTGGCTGCCTTCCAGGTGAGAGAGGTAGGGGATAGGGCTCATATGTTTTTAGCAAAAGATGGTAACCAGAGGGGCTTCCGGGGATGGACTTGCCTAGGAGGGGCAGGAAGAGAAAAGGCCTCGCTTCCAGGTCCTGGGTTGGGGTAGAGGTGGTCCTGAGGTACCTATAGCTGGGCCCATCCTTCCCTACTGCTCCAGGAGGTGAGGGCCCTGCCCCTCTGTAGGCCTTTCCCTTACAGGGAGCGCTAAAGGGCCAAGTCAACCCTCAGGTTCAGAGGTGCTGAAGAGGCTGGCCATGGAGGACCAGCCTGGGAGATCTGCCAGTTTCTGTGCTAGAAAGGATGTGTGTGCCTGTGCAGGATATGGGAGGCAGTCCAGGCCAAAGCCCTCAGCACTCTCATGTGCTTCTTCGCGCTGGCTTCAGGCCTTACCTCTTCCCAGTCACCACCATCTCCATCGTCTCCCATGGTCTTGTCCAACCCCTCTGTATGCCTCAGGGACCAGACACTGACACGCCAGAGACCACACTTCCACCCTGGATTTTATTGACAGTTATGGTAGTGTTCTTGAGCTGGCTCACATGCATGCGGTCAGTTGGGGCCTAGGGTGGCTCTTTGCAAAGCTGAAGTGTGAGCTAAGGAAGCTAGGCAGGGCAGGGCCCCTTCAGTCTTCTCAAGCCTTGGGCCAAGTTCTTGGCAATGGCTAGTCTCTCTGGCATGATTAGGGACATTATCAGAGAAACGTCTCATGGGAGCACATCTAGGGACCCACATTCTTTGCTTCAGACGCATCCATTCCCCCACCCCCAATTCAACTCTTGACCCATTACAAGAGACCTTTTCATCAGGATTTCTTCTTGCAGGAAAGCGGACTTGGAAACATGGGAAGGTGGGAGGGAGGGGCAATAAGAGGGACCCTAGGAAGCTGACCTGCTTGTCTGGGTGCCTACAGTAAAGAGCCCTTGAGGCAGGTGTCCTGGGCCTGGAAGAAACCATGCACTGCAGGTCCTCCCTTCTCCAGGAATTAAAAGCAAGGAACAGAAGCAAACTGAAACCCCTTGTCATCCTACCCACCTTCTGGCAGTCTCTAGATAATGATCTAAGGAAATAAGCTTACATTTATAATTAGAGGATAATTTGGAGAATATACACTATTTACAAGGGCCACCCTGCAAGAAGCAGGGAAGGTGGGAAACTGCTGGGCACAGGTGTAAACAGTCTGGGGAGTTCCTAATCTCTTTTTACCCTTGTTTTTGCTGTTCCCACCCTTCAGCCCCTAGCAGGGAGAGTGAGGAACCGGACTCTCTTGGGGAGCACTGGTGGCACAGTGACCGGTCACCAGGACCTCGCTGCTTGCAGAGGGCTCAGTAGTGGCCATGGCGTGACCAGGCGAAGTGGAGCTAGAGGAGTGGACGGTCCCGCCTGCTGTCCTCAC